ATGGACAACTTTGCAGGCGTGCTCTCAATTGCAATGGCTTCTTGATGCTCCCTAATGAGGTTGTGCTTAAGTGCCATTTGGACATCTTTTTTTATCGCAAATTCTTGATTGACAAATAACATGTAACCCAGTTGCCACAGACCTTGTATTGAAGCCGATCCAGAGACCGAACCATCAGTACATGATTTTTGTTCGCTCCGATAACTCCAATCAATGTAGGAATAATGCGGAATTCCTTCCCAAAAAGGAATAACATCTGTGTCACCTGTAATTGCGGATTACAATTTTTTAATACAAACTTACTAATTCAGGTATTAAAGCAGTTATCTATTCAGCTATATACAAATGGAATCAATTACCTTCATGGTGAATACCGAACGAGGCAGACACAACGTCATTCAACTGCGGCATTTGCGCGACGACTGGTTGATGGAATATTGGAATTTGAGACGCACCCATCTCACGGGATTCATCTCCTTCTGAAGCACTAGCATCCTCCGCCAGAAGACGTTCTTCCATTGCCATATTTTCATCGTCGTCATCGTCATCTTCGTCGTGCATTTCCCAAGTTGGATCATTTTCATCTCCCTCAGAAAAGTTACCAACTGGAGACGCATGAGCGACATGACAAGCTGGAAGACGGGGAGAATTTAAATAAACTGACCTCACCGGTAAGGGAGCATTCTCGGTTGCGGCGATGTCGACATACAACTCTAGAAAATCTGTCCTTGACTGGTTGCAAAATTCTTCCATTGTCATCACCAAGTCTTCATCGTCAAGCACTTTCAAACTAATGTATTTATCACCTTGCCACACTCTTGTCGTGATCTCAGTGATACATTGGTTGTCTGGAAGACTTAACTTCTGTCGAATTCTCTGATGCAGTTCGCCAATGGTTGTGTTGCGTTGGATACGTGTCGGCCTTTTTTCACCTTTGAAGATGACACCTTGTCAACCTTGTACCTTCCTACCATTGTAATATAACACAACACGAACAAAATCAGGATTTGAGCTCATTTTTAAATAGAATAAGAAATAAAATTCAAATATTAAATTTAAGATAAAGGAATGTTGGTGGATAAGAAAGATATGAAGAGTGAGAGAAGAGGTGTGAATTGAATGGAGGGGGTGGGGGAATATATAGAGCACATATGTGACGCCACTTTTGGGCATCACATGTGACGCCACTTTTGGGCATCACATGTGACGCCCCAATGGGGCGTCATCTCCAGGGGAGATATGCCCCATTGGGGCGTCACATGTGACGCCCAAAAGTGGCGTCACATTGTGCAGCAAATGTGTAATTTTTACAAAACAGCATTAAATGCGTAATTATTTAATTTAAATCCATTATTTTAATTTTTTTTGCCCCTTATAATGCTCTCAAGATGATACATAAAATTGGGTAAAAAAATATATGAAAAAAGAAGTTTTTAATTCTCACCCTAATACTTTAAATCAAATGAACATACGCCCTTATTTATAATGAAATGAGGTCATTGGATTTCACAATTAGATTGCAAATTGTGCACCGCAATTGCAACCAATAATTATTGTAAGCGGTCGTAGTATCCTTCATCGTAAGGGAAGCAAAAATTATGCACTTCCTAAATTATGTGGTATTTAATTAGTGGTAATTTGGTTGCCAACTTGTTGCAAAAGTTGCAGCCAACATGCAATTTACTTTGCTGACCTACGTAGCACAGACACGCTGATTTTCTAAAAATTTGCGTGTCGGACACGGACACGTTCCGACACGCTCGGACACGTGTCCGACACGCGGTCAATATTTTGGGACACGCGGTCAACTCTCTGACACGTTCCGACACGTTTTTCCGACACGCAGTCAACTTTTTCGGACACGCGGTTAAAGCTTGGACACGTTTTTTTTTTTTTAAATCTTAAATTTTATTTTGTTAACTAAATATAAAAGAAATAATTTATAAATTAATTTTTTTCTGTTATGAAATTTGATCTGGAAAATTAACAAAGTACGAAAAATTATTTATATTTATATTTATGTTTATAAATTTAAATATTTGATTGGTTATATGACTTATTATGGACTCTTATATGTATCAAATATAAATTATATTATATATATTAAATTTTTTATTTAATATCAAAACGTGTCCCAACGTGTCCAAATATGACATTTTTTAGAATTAACGTGTCGGTGTGTCGTGTCGTGTCATGTCGTGTCGTGTCCCGTGTCCGTGTCCGTGCATCATAGTTGCTGACACAACAATTCTCCCCCTCCAACAGATATTGGAATAAAGCAACAAACTCAATTCCACGTAGGGGATGAATTTTCTTATGTTGTAGTTGACAGGACCATTTTCCAGTAGATACAGACGTCCGGGGGTCCCATCATTTATGATTAAAAAAAATAAAAAATAAAAAACTCAAATATCAATCTCTCCCTACAGGAATTACTGTTCACATTCCTGCCGATGGAGAATAACATTTCCGTTCCACCTATCTGATTCAATCTTTTCCAAGAAATTATGATAAAAAATTATGTCTTGCAGACAACAACTAAGTTTGAGCAATGCTGAAACTTGATTATCCTGATAGCTTTTGTCATCTTGTCAGTATCCTGATAGGTTTTGTCATCTTGTCCGTTCTTGATACATTTTTTTAGTCAAATGTAAAGCACCCTGGCTATCTCAATAAGCAACAGATGGATTTTGTTTCAAGCTTAAATTTGTGAAAACCTCTATGTCAGGTGACTTCTTTCATTGCCTCCGTCCTTTACATATATTTTGCCTCAATAGTTAAAAGGGAAATTGTTGGTGATAAATTTGCTTTCCACTAACGACACATTATGAGATAGTGAAAATATAACCTGTCAACGATCTTCTCTTGTCCAAATTTCTTGCATAATCTGAGTCCATAAAACCAATATCAGTTTCAAAAGTGTTAATGTTGATATGTTCAAAAACCAGACCAACATTTAAAGTACCCCACAAATATCGTAGAACCCAATTTACTGCCAATCAGTGTTCTTTTCCCGGATTCACCATATATTTGTTGACAACACTAACAACATGTGAAATTTTGGGGCGAGTACATATCATGACATACGTAAGACTGCTAACAACACTAGCATAAAGAATATGAGACATGTGTTCCTTTCCTCATTCAATCTGTGGTGACAACTTTATTTATAAGAGAAAATGCATAGCATGTGGTGTACAAATTGGATTGGAATTTTCTATCTTAAATTGCTCAAGCACTTTCTCAATATAATTCTTTTAAGATAAACAAAGTTTGCCTGCTTAACAGTCTCTGAATTTTCATGCCCAAAATTTTTCAAGCTGTACTGAAATCTTTCATTTTAAACTTTGAGTTGAGTTGATATTTCAACTTACAAATCTCTGACATATTTTAACACCTATCAACGTATAATAACCACTAGAGAGGTTGTAAAAATACACACAATTGTCATAATTACTTCTAGAAAAATCATGATCAATAATAAAAGAGTCAAACTATTTATACCACCGCATTGAGATTGCTTCAATCCATATAGAGATTTATTCAATAAGCAAACGAGATCTTCTTTTCTCTATTCAACAAGACCTTTAGGTTTATGCAAGTAAATATGTTATTCAAGCTCACCATGAAGAAATATAGTTTCAACATCGAGTTGTTCAAGCTTCAAATTATACAAGGCAACTAAAGCAAGTAAAACATGAATTGAAGTATGTTGTACCATCGATGAGAATATTTCGTTGAAATCAGTGGCGGAGTCAGGATTATTAATTGGGGGGGGTCGGGGGCGAAAATAATTTTTTTTGTTACCTATTCAACCACTCTCTCTCTCTCTCTCTCTCTCTCTCTCTTCTTATTTTGTATCCCCTTTTTTCTCTGTGTTTGAATTGGTTGAGTAACAATGACGGACACCACTGACGATATATATAGCAGAGAAAATCTCCTTCCAAAACTATGATGATAATTGAAGATTACTTGGGAATCTTCTCAACGACGTTTTGCAATAAGAAGTTGAGAATGGAGGGGGTGGACGAGTCCTTGGCTTCACCCCTGGTCTCCTTAACTGACCAGCTCGCTTTCAAAGATTAAGTTAAAAACATTTACTTCAAAACTTTTGAGGCACCCACACTAGCCTCTTGGTTCCCCCTCTGGTTGAAATCTACTCATTCGCTTAGCCTTTTGCATAGAATTGGGTACACAAAAAAACTCTGGGAAAAGATTTTTTTAATTCTTGTACCGTTGGGATCTATAAGCCCACTATGTTTCCTTTAGGGATGGAGTCACGGTATGGGCTATATCTCTAGCAAAGGTAAAGACCAAGCTAGGAGGTACTGTTTCAAGTATGATGCAAAATAGATGATAATGAGGGTTAGGGGGTGAATAACAGTGACTCAATGTAAATAGGAAGAATAACGATACATAAGATGCCTCTCCTGTGTGTGGAGAGGGGTATTTATAGGGGAGGTGATGCTGATTCTGTGTGGGTTGGTGAGGAGGGAGTCAACTCTCCTTGGGATTAGCTAAGGGTGGCTGACACTACTACGATAGTAGTGATGCATCCCATGTGCCTGGCGATTTCAGCGTATGACGATGGGGTAGTTACCACTTATAGTATCTAGGGTGGTTTTCCAGGGAGTTGGAATCCCAAGATGAGGCATTTCGGTGTTTCACCTGGGGGGTGCAGTCGCCTTGGGGGTAGAGAAGCTGATGGGTTGGTAGGGTTGACGTGGATATGGGTGGACGGTTTGGGCTTAGGCTATTGGGCCACTATGGCGTTGGGCCATCCGGAACAGGAGCCCCCCCAGCTTGGTAGCAAGCGTAGGCTGGTGCCAAGATACATTGTCTTGGGCGTCCTGGGGAAAAGGACTGTTTGACCTGTCACCAATAAGTACTCTTGGGTATTTGACGAAGCATTAGTAGCTTTGGCGACTTGGGTGAGACCTTAGGACCCTTGGCGACTTGAGGGAGGTTCCTTGTCTGGCGATTTGATTGACTGGCGGGACATGCAGTTCATGGGACGCTCTCTAGATTGGCCACGTGTCTTCGGTAGGAAATGTGGCTTTTCAGTTTTCAAGGGTTTGTAATGATGGGTGACCCATCATTGCTATTAACTACAGGCACCCTAACGTCGCAAAGCGCGGCGCATTAATGCGACGTGAGGGATATATTGTCCCCCTGTAATTACCATAGGGTCCTTTATCTGGGCCAGTTATTAACTGACGGTTACACCAATCTCACGGTCTCCGTTGTGAGACGCTACATGCGTATGTCACACCTGAGGGATGTCTTGTCTTCTTGTAATTACCATAGGGTCTGATAACTCATATTTTATTGCACTTATTTGTTACTCTTGATTAGTATTTTTAGGATTTATTTGAATAAAATAATGATTTTTGAGTTAATTTAGATTTTTAGTTTTTGATTGGGTTTAATTTATTTTCGTCAGAATTTTTCAGCTTTACGTTACTTCTGTATTTTGGCCATATCTCGGTCCACAATTGTCGGATTGACTCCTTTCTTATTGGGTTTTTCAGATAACACAGAGGGATACAATTATTATGCAGAGCTTGAAGCCCAATTCGGACTGGAAGCTGGTCTATTTCTGACGCAAAGTTGGACGCGTTTTGCTGAAGTTTTATTTTATTGTTGGACTTGTAATTTAAATTAAAACCCAATTACTTAAGTGGCCCAAAGCCAAGTTTTATTTTATTTTATTTCGTATTATAGACAGATGGGCCGATCAGAATTGAGCTCTAACCTGATTTGGGTAGGGATATATGTCGGCAGAGTAGGAAACTATTATTCATTCTGTAATTTTCAAATTTGAGGATCAAAGCATTTTCTCTGAAGCGTTTTTCGCGTTCTTCATCTTGTTCTTCTTCTTTTTATTTTATTTTAATTTTTAATCATGGTTATCCTAACCATGCTAGGCTAAAACCCCTTTAATCAACCTAAGGGGAAGGGATTACATGGATCTATCTAAAGGATTTGCGATCATTCTCTAACCAGATTCGTTTCTTTACCCTAACTCAGATCGATATCGTGCGATTATGGATATTCGATCTGAAGTTCGCGATTGCGATTATGGAAAAAGAATGATCATCAGATTTGATGATCAGATTATTTTCAATTGGAAATAAGAATTCTGATTCAATTGAGATTAATCACGAATTTGGTAATTTTTATCCAAGGAAGGACAACCTAGGAACCCTAACCTTAGGTTGGTTAATTTTTAATTACGAATTTTTAATCCCAATTTTTTTATTCTGTCTTTTAATTATTCAACCAAAATCCAAAACCCCCCCTTTTTATTTTCTGTTTTCATAATCAATTTTTACCCAAACAATTTCCTTGAGAGACAACTTAGGGTTTCCACTTTACTGCAAATTTTTTGAACCCTAATAAAAAATAATTTTTAATTTCTGCGAGTTCAACAGCTCGTGCTAGGGTCCTTCATCTGAACCACTTGTTGTCTGACGGTTGGTCTCATCACATGGTCACCCTTGTGAGACGCTACATATGTACGCTACCTTTTACTCCCCCCTTCTCTATTTAAAAGGGGTTTTCCCTCTATGCAATCTTCTTCATCATTCTCTGGTTCTTCACATTCTTAGTTGCTCTTTTTTGGCTTTTCTTCTTCTGAGTGAGTGCTTGTGCTGGTCTTCTCTCTTTCCATTCTTTCTACGGTCTTCGCTGCCGCAGGTATAGTGTTACTAGTTTGTGACTTCTCTTATTTCTTTACTTTCCTTTGGTTTTTTGGTTCTGTTCTTCCTTTTCTCATGATGGTTGAGTTAAAAGATTTGACTGGAGAGTCTTGCCTGAGTTGGAGGTAGTTGTTAAGGAGGAAGAGTTTGACGAAGCTTTCGAGACGTTTGATGGTTGTGTAGTTGGGGAAGTCATGCGGGCGTTCCTCGCTGGCCGTGTTGGGGAAAGCAATAGCGTTCCCCTTCGTCGTTCTTTCATTCCTGGGGTTGAGTCACTTCCTCATGGTAGGATACTTGAGCTCCTGGGTGCCAGTGAAGAGGAAATCCAAAGACTTATGCCAAAAAGGGCTTTGGGAACTGTGGTTCCATATTCTGGTGAGGCTTCTGGTTCTGGTTAGTGTAATGGGCGTGAGGCCGTTCCTGGTAGGGGAGTTTGTAGACCCGGTAGGCGTCAGTCTGGTGGGTCTCGGTGTGGTGTTGGGCCTCGTCCTCCACGGAGGAGGCATTCTGGCTCTTCTGGTCGTTCTTCTCATGATCACAGGACTGGCTCTCGTCGCCGTGCTTCGCGACACTCAGCTTTTGGAGTAGGGAGACTTATTCGCCCCTTATCCTCTATCAATCGTGAACCTCAGAATCGCCCTCTAGAATTGTATTACCAACCTCGTCCTTTACGAATAATCTACCCCATTGTTGAATCTCTTGTCGCTTTATGCACATCTTGTGGCCATGTTCCTCAAATTCCTAAATCCTTTCATAGCCGTAAATATGACAAATCAACTGACAACTGGTTAGGTAGGTACCACCCAAAGGATGCTCGGCTCGTAAGGTATGGCGTGTGGGATGCCATTTGTAAGAACCCGCACCGTTAATTAAGGTATTTAAATAATTAATTATGCAAAAATAAGAAATGATTCCATAATTGACCCTAATAATTATTTATGAGGCTTAATAATCATAATAAGTGATTAAGAATGCTAAAAGTCGCTTTTCGGAAGAAAAGTGCAGATACCGGTTCTGCTAGTCGATATAAATGTGTACAAAAAAAGTATCCTGGAAAATTAATGTAAGTGCATGATAATTACTAGAATAACATGTAGGACTTGTAAAACGAGTTTCAAGTCCAAATAATGAGAACTAGTGCTAGAAACCGGTACTGGCTTTGAAAAGCGCTTACCGGAAAGGTGCTCAGAAAAATATAAGAAAAATATGATAAATCTTAGAAAATTATGTAGTTTGAGAATCCAAAGTTTGGGATTAAAATACTAAGCGTAGAAATTAAAGTTAATATTGTGTGTTTAAGTGTGTTTGGGCTATAAATACTCTCATTATGGGCACAAAACCCTAGGATCAGATTTCTCTACGTGAGTAACTTGGAGGCTGACCAGAAAACACTCTTTCCTTGCCTTCTTCACCATTTCTTGAGCAAGCATTCACCTTTGATGCTTGTTCTTCCATTTAAACACTTGGTGAGGGTGAGGGTTGGCCTTGAGACTACATTAGGGTGGTGTTTCTGAGTTAGAGAACCTGTGTGAGGGAGTTTGAAGAGCTGTGTTTGCTGTTCTTGAGGGGTGTGACCTTTTGTTGGCATTTTGATGCTTCAAGGTGTCTTCTTGTTGAGTAAAAGAGTCATCTTGTGTTCATTTTCGTGCATCCTCTTGTGACAGTAGCTTGAGTCTGATTGTGAGCTCCAAGAGCATCTCCCTTTGCTGTTTTTGAGCTTTGGTATGTATATCAACCTTTAACTTGAGTTTTAAGGCTTAAAAATGGTAGCTTGATGCATGTTAAGGTTAAAAGATGATAACTTGTTGTTGGGTGAGGCTTAACACATCTAGAAATGCATGATTAGGTGTTTAAAATCGGTAAAAAGGGAACCTTTAAGGGATATCTTCACGAAAATGCAGAAACTGCATTCTGTCGTGAGATATCCGGATATTTGTCGAACTGATATCCGGATATTGGATATCCGGATACGTGGTGTGGGATATCCGGATATTGGATATCCGGATATGTGAATCTGTATATCCGGATATTGCATATCCGGATATGGACAGTGAGATATCCGGATATTCTGGGATTTCGCAGAACAGCAGTTGTGCTGTGTGTACAGTAGGCTATTGGGGGTTTGTGGATCCTAGTTTGATGAAGTTGAACTTCTGTATTTAATGGATTAAGCCAGAATCATGGGATTTAGGGCTTGTGGCTTTGTTAGAAGCTTTAAGACTTGAAAACGTAATGAAAAAGGCGTTGTCTTTAATTTGTATGCATGTGGTACATGTTATTGATTTATGTTTGGTCCATATCAGATTGTGATCTGCTGTGATTGGACTTTGAGCTTGTGGCATTGGATAACTAGCTTAGAGGTAAGCTTTCGTGTCCTCGGTTTAGCCATGTTGTGGTTCCACCATGTCCCATGGGGATATGGTATATGCATGCTGTGTTACATGCTTTTGATGTTTTGAAAATGCTGTTGAGCTATTATATGTTAGTGCCTTGTTGATATGCATGGAGGTGTTCCACCTATACGGTAAGCCTGAGTATGTAGAACATACAAGAGGGTGAGGTTGTGGGTGAGGTGCAAGCGGTGTTCCTTGTACTATATGTAGGGAATAGACGTATTCCTACATTTCTCTGGCCAGTAGATAGTAATTACACACATGCCATAGATATCTGTTGCACTACATAGTTTTTGGAACTGAAAATGATATAAATGCTTTTGAACTTATATTGCACATATAAGTGAGCTTGGGGTGGAAGATCCTTGAGGACCCCTTGTCTTACTGAGATTTCTAGTTTAGAGATCTCACCCCACGTTTGGGGAATGCTTATTTCAGGATCAGGTAATGTTGAGACCTCAGGCGGCAGGAGGCCGGAGCTGAGTTAGAGTGCTGTTATTTTATGCTGCCATGATTGGATGCTGGATTTGCATGCTGTTTATATGCGTATAGCTTCAGTTATGATTTTGGAGTTTTATGTTGAGATTGTTGTTTACTATGTCTATTTGGTGAGCATGGGGATTGCCCATGACACATAGTATTTTTATGTCTTGAGTCTTTTGGAGTTGTAATAATGTATCAGGATATTGTCGGGATTACTTGATGTAATGCCGTGATTTAGATACACACTTTATCTATATATTGAGGTATTTCAGTAGATGTCTTAGTGCAATTTACATACAGGCGTTATTTTATGAAATTGATTAAGTCAAGTTGGTAATTGATAATGACGTCATAATTGAAAAGAAAAAGAATATTCCGCATTTTTAATTAAGCACCGCTTAATACGATGTAATGTTAATATTCCGGGTATACACGGGGTGTTACATTTTATGGTATCAAAGCAACGGTTCAAGGGAAAAGCCTGTATGTATTGCAATGATTAGGATGTGTGGTTGTGTCTGTTTTGTGTGTTTGCTCCGTCGAGTATTATTATGATAATGCATATGTGACCACATTGCGTGGGCCTGATCAACTCATAATTTGTGTAACTTGTGCAGAATCATGGTAAGACCCGGGAGAAACCGCGAGACTTCGGAGGATCGGCCCGATCCTGTCCTGGCTGCATTAGCTGAGATGCAGGCGGCCCGACTAGCCGACCAGGAGGCCATGAGAATGGCAAACCAGGCCATGCTGGACGCCGTCAGAGAGGCGAACAGGAAGGCCACGGAGGACGTGTTGGAGGCCAACCGTCTGGCGAACATGACGATGTTTAGAGTCATGTTGGAGGAGATGAGGAATGGCCCTGATGTTGGTCATGCTACCACCTCCACCGCCACCACCACCACCGCCACCACCACCACCACCTCCACCCAGTCTGCAGGATGACTCTCAGAGTCAGATGGGAGATGGCAGTCATCTTACGGGGGCCATGCAGACCGTCCCTGTTTTTGTTGAGGATCGTGATGAGATCGATCGCCGGCTGAATGCTTTCCGTAAGCATAAGCCACCTGCCTTTGATGGATCCTTTGATCCTGTTGCTGCTGCACGTTGGCTTCAGGCGTTGGACAAGATTTTTCAGGTCATGCAGTGCACAGATCCGCAGAAGTTGATGTTCGCTACTTACATGCTGGAGGGCGATGCCCATGAGTGGTGGACAAACCTTTCTCATGTCTACGAGATGCAGGGTCATGTGATGACTTGGCCTATGTTCGAGGATTTCTTCTTGGGTCAGTACTTTCCATATGACGCTCAGGAGAGGCAGCAGGGAGAGTTTGACAGATTGGTTCAGGGCTCGTTGTCTGTGGACGAGTACCTGGCCAAGTTCAACCAGTTGGTGAAGTTTGCACACTTCAGGATGGCGAGGCCTACTCCTACATTTCTGGCTGCTAAGTTCCGCAGGGGACTTAGTGAGGATATTGCTGGTTACCTAGCTGGTTCTGCTTCTAGAGATTTTGGGACACTGGTTCAGCAGTGTCGTGATATTGAAGATTACTACAGCTCGAGTAAGGCCAAGAGGGCCAAGGTTGCTGAGGCGACGAAGGTTGCAGCTGGTAGTTCCACTTCTTGGCGAGACAGGAAGTTTGGGAACAAGGGCAAGGGTAAACCGTTGGCAGCTCGGCAGGCGCCGAGTCAGTTCAAGAGGACTTCTGCTCAGGGGAGTGCAGCGAGACCTCCTGCTCCCAGGTGTTCGGGATGCGGGAAGACTCATTTTGGGCCGTGTTCTACCGGCCAGTTGATTTGCTTTCAGTGTGGCAAGGAGGGCCACTTCTCCAGAGATTGTCCGTCGGCGACGACGAGGGCTACTGCAGTGCAGGCAGTGCCACTTCAGATGGTTCCCCTTCCACCTGCTTCGGCACCGGCAGTGCCACCATCTTCTGGGAGAGTGTATACTTTGGATCGTCAGCAGTCGGATCGAGCTCCGAACCTTGTCAGAGGTACTGTTACGATTGGTTCATCAGCTGTTGATGTGTTGTTTGACTCTGGGGCTACGCATTCTTTTGTTGCTACCCCGATTGCTGTGGGGCTTGAGTTGCCCAGTGATGTGCTTTCTCCACCGATGCGGGTGACTACCGCCACCGGAGAAAGATGTGATGCTACCACTGTTCATCGCGATGTGGCGTTTCAGTGGGATGGCCGTGAGTTCTCGGTAGATCTGATAGGGTTGCCGATGGCCAACTTGGAGGTTATTCTGGGCATGGATTGGCTGTCCAGAAATTGTGTGATGATTGATTGTTGTGCCAAGCGTGTAGTGTTGTCTCCGTGTGATTCCACAGCCAGTTCCTCGCCGTACATTTCGTTGCTGCAGGCTAGGAGAGCCTTGAGAGCAGGGGCATTTGGTTATGTCATGTTGGGAGGTTTGGTGAGTGGTACACAGGAGGACATCACCGGCATTCCTGTGGTGAGGGAGTTCCTTGAGGTGTTTCCTGAGGAGATTCCTGAGTTTCCGCCACAGAGGGAGATAGAGTTCTCCATAGATCTGTTGCCTGGTGTGGGGCCGATCTCTTTAGCTCCATACCGGATGTCGCCACCGGAGTTGGCAGAGCTGAAGAAGCATATTGAGGATCTTTCAGCGAAAGATTTCATTAGACCGAGTGTGTCTCCTTGGGGAGCACCGGTTATCTTTGTGAAGAAGAAGGACGGGACAATGCGATTGTGCACCGACTACAGGCAGCTGAACAAGGTGACAATCAAGAACAAGTATCCTCTTCCTCGGATTGATGATCTGTTGGATCAGCTCAGGGGTGCTTGTGTGTATTCCAAGATTGATCTCCGGTCCGGATACCATCAGATTCGGGTGAAGCCGGAGGATGTCCCGAAGACCGCATTTCGCTCGAGATATGGTCATTTTGAGTACTTGGTGATTCCGTTCGGTCTCACCAATGCACCTGCTGTGTTCATGGATTACATGAACCGGATTTTTCAGCCGTACCTGGATCAGTTTGTGATCGTCTTCATTGACGATATTTTGATTTACTCCAAGACGGAGGAGGAGCATGTGGGGCATTTGAGAACTGTTCTGCAAGTGCTGAAGGAGAAGAAGCTGTATGCAAAGCCTTCCAAATGTGAGTTCTGGCTCAAGTCTGTGAAGTTTCTTGGGCATGTTATTTCTGCTGAGGGAGTTGCAGTGGATCCGAACAAGATTGAGGCCGTGCTGGATTGGGAGAGACCCAAGACAGTTACGGAAGTGAGGAGCTTTCTGGGTTTGGCAGGTTACTATCGGAGGTTCATCAAGGGATTCTCCACCATGGTTTTGCCATTGACTCGCCTTACTCGGAAGGAGACTCCATTTGTGTGGACTCACGAGTGTGAGGTCTGTTTTCAGGAGTTGAAGGAGAGACTGACTACTGCTCCTGTGTTGGTCCTTCCTGATCCTGCGCTTGAGATTGAGCTTTACACCGACGCCTCCGGGAAGGGGCTAGGTTGTGTGTTGATGCAGTTGGGCAAAGTGATTGCCTATGCTTCGAGGCAGTTGAAACCTCATGAGGAGAACTACCCTACTCATGACTTGGAGTTGGCTGCTATTGTGTTTGCTTTCAAGATTTGGAGGCATTATCTTTTTGGCTTGAGGTTTGTGGTTTTCAGTGACCACAAGAGTTTGAAGTACCTGTTCGACCAGAAGGAGTTAAACATGAGGCAGAGGAGATGGATGGAGTTCATAAAGGACTACGACTTCGAGCTAAGGTATCATCCTGGAAAGGCCAATGTGGTAGCTGATGCTTTGAGTCAGAAATCCAGTAGTTCATCCAGTTTGTTACTTGGTAACTTCGATGTGGTTGAGAAGTTCCGCAACTTGGCAGTGACCGCTCCGTGTGAGAGTGTACTTCTCGGATTGGACGCATTGATAACACATATTTTGTTACACTTATTTGTTACTCTTGATTAGTATTTTTAGGATTTATTTGAATAAAATAATGATTGTTAGAGTTAATTTAGGTTTTTAGTTTTTAATTGGGTTTAATTTATTTTCGTCAGAATTTTTCAGCTTTACGTTACTTCTGTATTTTGGCCATATCTCGGTCCATAGTTGTCGGATTGACTCCGTTTTTGTTGGGTTTTTTAGATAATACAGAGAGCTACAATTCTTATGCAGAGCTCTAAGCCCAATTCGAACTAGAAGCTGGTCGATTTCGGACACCAAGTTGGACGCGTTTTGCTGAAGTTTTGTTTGACTATTGGGCTTGTAATTTAAATTAAAACCCAATTACTTAAGTGGCCCAAAGCCAAGTTTTATTGTTTCATTTTATTTTATTCGGTTTTTTTATTTTATGTTTGGCCTGAAGAGATGAAACCCTAGCCGTCCTGCGTGACGGCTATTTAAAGGGGACTCTAGGAAACCTTGGTAGTCAGTTTTTACAACAGAGAAGTTCTCTCTGAGTTTTTATTCAATTGCGTTCTTCATCTTTTTTCTTCTTCTTCTTCTTTTTATTTCAATTATGTTTATCTTAGCCATGCAAGGCTAAGAACCTTTTAATCAACCTAAGGGTAATGGATTCCATGGATTGGTCTTGAGGATCTGCGTTTATTTCAAATCAGTTTTGTTTCCCTTCCCAACTCAGATTGATATCGTGCGATCGTGGATATTCAATCTGAGGTTCGCGATTGCGATTATGGAAAGGGATTAATCATCAGATTTGATGATTAGGTTGATTGACCCTATGACCTTAAATCAAGCGGGCTGATACTTTGCGATTGTATGAGTAGAAGCATCGTCTTTGATCAAATGCTAAGCGATCGCTTAGAGAGGGTTGTCAATTGGAAATAAGGATTCTGATTCGATTGACAAATCAATCACGATTCTGATATCTTCTTATCCGAGGAAAGACGTCCATGGAACCCAAACCTTAGGTTGGTTATTTTTAATTACGAATTTTTATTCCAAATTTATATTCTGCCTCTTTAATTATTGAATCAAAATCTAAAACCCCCCTTTTAATTTTCTGTTCTCATAAGCGATTTTAACCAAAACAATTTCCTTGAGAGACGACTTAGGGTTTTCACTTTACTGCAAATTTTCTGAACCCTAAAGAATTAATTTTTAATTTGCGCGAGTTCGACAGCTCGTGTCACGCATCTGATGTTGTGAACGAGCTGCTTGAAAAGATTAAAGAGGCACAAGTTCAGAGAGAGTGTCTGGATTATGTGAAGAACCAAGACGGTGTGTCTTGGAATGAGGATGGAGTGCTTTTGTTTCAGCAGAGGATTGTAGTTCCTTGAGGCCCGTTGACAGAGGAGATTATGGCAGAAGGCCATAAGGGTCAGTTTTCTATCCATCCTGGTGCTACTAAGATTTATCAAGACTTGAAGAAGAACTTCTGGTGGCCGGGCATGAAGAAAGATGTTGCTATCTTTGTGTCTAAGTGTTTGGTTTGCCAGAAGGTGAAGATTGAGCATCAGAGACCGTCTGGTGAACTTCAACCTCGTGAAGTACCACAGTGGAAGTGGGAAGGTATTTCCATGGACTTCGTGGTGGGATTGCCGAAGACTCAGGCGGGTTGTGACTCTATTTGGGTCATTGTGGACAGACTGACGAAGTCTGCCCACTTTCTTCCCGTGAAGGTGAGCTTCACTACAGAGCAGTTGGCCAAGCTTTATGTCCGCGAGATTGTGAGGCTTCACGGGGTGCCCGAGAATATCATTAGTGATAGGGACCCGAAGTTCACTAATCGGTTCTGGGAGGCGCTGCAGGAGGCTATTGGTACGCAGTTGAGATTGAGTACCACCTATCACCCTCAGACTGATGGACAGACTGAGAGGACCATCCAGACCTTGGAGGACATGTTGCGAGCTTGCACTTTGGAGCAAGGCTCGGCATGGGATATATACCTTCCTTTGGTTGAGTTTTCTGACAACAATAGCTTTCATGCTAGCCTGGGCATGGCGCCCTACGAAGCACTGTATGGTAGGAGGTGTCGGACTCCTACGTGTTGGTCTGAGGTTGGGGATAAGGAGCTTTTTGGCTTGGACTTTGTCCAGGATACCACCTTGCAGATCCAGATGATCTGTGAAAAGTTGAAGCAGGCGCAGAATCGCCAGAAGAGCTACTATGATGTTAAGCATCGTCCACTGGAGTTCAGTGAGGGTGAGCACGTGTTTGTGAGACTTCCACCTGTCACCGGTATAGGTCGGGCACTCAGAGTGAGGAAGCTGAGCCCGCGATAAATTGGGCCATACCAGATTCTTGGTAGAGTAGGACCAGTTGCCTACCGGCTTGCCTTGCCTCCGAACCTGGCTAACATCCACGACGTGTTTCACGTGTCTCAGCTTCGGAAGTACATAACAGATCCGTTGCACGTGGTGCAACCGGATGATGTGGAGGTTCGGGAGAACCTAAAGACTCCCGTCGGACCACTCAGAATTCTCGATCATGGCGAGAAGCAACTGAGGAGCAAGATCATTCCGATGGTCAAGGTGCAGTGGACCGGAAGGACTCCTGAGGAGTGTACTTGGGAGCGTGAGGACGAGCTTCTCCGGCAGTACCCCGAGTTTCGACCAGGTATGTTTCTGATTTTGAGGTCAAAATCCTAAAAAGGTGGGGTGAATGTAAGAACCTGCACCGTTAGTTAAGGTATTTAATTAATTAATTATGCAAAAATAAGAAATGATTCCATAATTGACCCTAATAATTATTTATGAGGCTTAATAATCATAATAAGTGATTAAGAATGCTGAAAGTCGCTTTTCGGAAGAAAAATACAGATAGCGGTTCTGCTAGTCGGTATAAATGTGTACAAAAAAAGTATCCCGGAAAATTAATGTAAGTGCATGATAATTACTAGAATAACATGTAGGACTTGTAAAACGAGTTTCAAGTCCAAATAATGAGAACTGGTGCTAGAAACCGGTACTGGCTTTGAAAAGCGCGTACAGGAAAGGTGCTCAGAAAAATATGATAAATCTTAGAAAATTATGTAGTTTGAGTATCCAAAGTTTGGGATTAAAATACTAAGCGTAGAAATTAAAGTTAATACTGTGTGTTTAAGTGTGTTTGGGCTATAAATACTCCCATTATGGGCACAAAACCCTAGGATCGGATTTCTCTACGTGAGTAACTTGGAGGCTGACCAGAAAACACTCTTTCCTTGCCTTCTTCACCATTTCTTGAGCAAGCATTCACCTTTGATGCTTGTTCTTCCATTTAAACACTTGGTGAGGGTGAGGGTTAGCCTTGGGACTACATTGGGGTGGTGTTTCTGAGTTAGAGAACCTGTGTGACGGAGTTTGAAGAGCTGTGTTTGCTGTTCTTGAGGGGTGTGACCTTTTGTTGGCATTTTGATGCTTCAAGGTGTCTTCTTGTTGAGTAAAAGAGTCATCTTGTGTTCATTTTCGTGCATCCTCTTGTGACAGTAGCTTGAGTCTGATTGTGAGCTCCAAGAGCATCTCCCTTTGCTGTTTTTGAGCTTTGGTATGTATATCAACCTTTAACTTGAGTTTTAAGGCTTAAAAATGGTAGCTTGATGCATGTTAAGGTTAAAAGATGATAACTTGTTGTTGGGTGAGGCTTAACACATCTAGAAATGCATGATTAGGTGTTTAAAATTGGTAAAAAGGGAACCTTTAAGGGATATCTTCACGAAAATGCAGAAACTGCATTCTGTCGTGAGATATCCGGATATTTGTCGAACTGATATCCGGATATTGGATATCCGGATATGTGAATCTGTATATCCGGATATTGCATATCCGGATATGGACAGTGAGATATCCGGATATTCTGGGATTTCGCAGAACAGCAGCTGTGCTGTGTGTACAGTAGGCTATTGGGGGTTTGTGGATCCTAGTTTGATGAAGTTGAACTTCTGTATTTAATGGATTAAGCCAGAATCATGGGATTTAGGGCTTGTGGCTTTGTTAGAAGCTTTAAGACTTGAAAACGTAGTGAAAAGGCGTTGTCTTTAATTTGTATGCATGTGGTACATGTTATTGATTTATGTTTGGTCCATATCAGATTGTGATCTGCTATGATTGGACTTTGAGCTTGTGGCATTGGATAGCTAGCTTAGAGGTAAGCTTTCGTGTCCTTGGTTTAGCCATGTTGTGGTTCCACCATGTCCCATGGGGATATGGTATATGCATGCTGTGTTACATGCTTTTGATGTTTTGGAAATGCTGTTGAGCTATTATATGTTAGTGCCTTGTTGATATGCATGGAGGTGTTCCACATATACGGTAAGCCTGAGTATGTAGAACATACAAGAGGGTGACGCTGTGGGTGAGGTGCAAGCGGTGTTCCTTGTACTACATGTAGGGAATAGACGTATTCCTACATTTCTCTGGCCAGTAGATAGTGATTACACACATGCCATAGATATCTGTTGCACTACATAGTTTTTGGAACTGATAATGATATAAATGCTTTTGAACTTATATTGCACATGTAAGTGAGCTTGGGGTGAAAGATCCTTGAGGACCACTTGTCTTACTGAGATTTCTAGTTTAGATATCTCACCCCACGTTTGGGGAATGCTTATTTCAGGATCAGGTAATGTTGAGACCTCAGGCGGCAGGAGGCCGGAGCTGAGTTAGAGTGCTGTTATTTTATGCTGCCATGATTGGATGCTGGATTTGCATGCTGTTTATATGCTTATAGCTTCAGTTATGATTTTGGAGTTTTATGTTGAGATTGTTGTTTACTATGTCTATTTGGTGAGCATGGGGATTGTCCATGACAAATAGTATTTTTATGTCTTGAGTCTTTTGGAGTTGTAATAATGTATCAGGATATTGTCTGGATTACTTGATGTAATGTCGTGATTTAGATACACACTTTATCTATATATTGAGGTATTTCAGTAGATGTCTTAGTGCAATTTACATACAGGCGTTATTTTATGAAATTGATTAAGTAATCAAGTTGGTAATTGAAAATGACGTCATAATTGAAAAGAAAAAGAATATTCCGCATTTTTAATTAAGCACCGCTTAATACGATGTAATGTTAATATTCCGGGTATACACGGGGTGTTACAGTAACCATCTGGATATTTTGTATGTATTATACTTTCTGAAAAAAAAAAACAAAAACAAAAACAAAACAAAACAAAACAAAAAACAAAAAAAAAGAAAAAGCAAAAAGAAAAAAAAATTGTGTTTATTTCTATCTTTTCATTATATTTGTTTTATGTTCTTAGTTTAGTTCTTAACTTTTGCTCTTTGTAAATTTCTGGTGTGTTTAGCTTTCTCTTCCATATTCATCCATGCCTTTACCTTAGCCCTATTACAACCCTGCATAAAGCCCTCTTGATTTGTGCATGCATGTGTTATTAGCAGTGGAGAAGTACAAGTTGAGCAAGCCTATGGTAGGATGATTTTCTTGAGTTGATTTGAGTGATATAGTGAATTAACTGATACACTTGAGAGAAAATTGAGAGCATTCTGTGAGGAACCATTTTGTGTAGTTAGCAGTTGCAGTTGAAATTGACGGGTCTTGTGATTTGAGATTAAGGAATTTTTGTCCTGGATGTTTTATCTGTTCAAGACTTGTGATTTTTGTTATCTTTTGTATACTTGCTAATTATTGGGAAGGATAGGTTGATCTTCACTCTTTTCTTATTTCTTTGCTTTCTTTTCCTATTCTAGTTTTTGCCCAGGAGAGCAAAAAGATAAGTGCGGGGGAATTTGATAACTCATATTTTATTGCAGGTATTTGTTACTTTTGATTAGTATTTTTAGGATTTATTTGAATAAAATAATGATGTTTTGAGTTAATTTACATTTTAGTTTCTGATTGAGTTTAATTTATTTTCGTCAGAATTTTTCAGCTTTACGTTACTTCTGTATTTTGGCCATATCTTGGTCCACAGTTGTCGGATTGACTCCGTTCTTATTGGGTTTTTCAGATAACAAAGAGGGCTCCAATTCTTATGCAGAGCTCGAAGCCCAATTCGGACTGGAAGCTGGTTGATTTCTTGCGCCAAGTCGGACACGTTTTGCTGAAGTTTTAGACTTGTAATTTAAATTAAAACCCAATTACATAAGTGGCCCAAAGCCAAGTTTTATTTTATTTTATTTATTTTATTTTATTTTATTTTGTATTTTAGGCAGATGGGCCGATCAAAACTGAATCCTAACCCGATTTGGGTAGGGGTATATGACGGCAGAGTAGGAAATCGTTATTCATTCTGTAATTTTCGAATTCGGGGATCAAAGCACTTTCTCTGAAGCGTTCTTCGCGTTCTTCATCTTTTTCTTCTTCTTCTTTTTATTTTATTTTAATCATGTTTACCTTAGCCATGCGAGGCTAAGAACTTTTTAATCAACCTAAGGGTAACGGATTCCATGGATTAGTCTTGAGGGTCTGTGCTTTATTGTAAATCAATTTTGTTTCCCTTCCTAACTCAGATTGATATCGTGCGATCATGGATATTCAAACTGAGGTTCGCGATTGCAATTATGGAAAGGGATTAATCATCAGATTTGATGATTAGATTGATTGACCCTATGACCTTAAATCAAACGGGCTGACACTCTGCGATTGTATGAGTAGAAGCACCGTATTTGATCAAATGCTAAGCGATCGCTTAGAAAGGGTCGTCAATTGGAAATAAGGATTCTGATTCAATTGACAATCAATCACGATTCTGACATTTTTTATCCGAGGAAAGACGTCCATGGAACCCTAACCTTAGGTTGGTTAATTTTTAATTACGAATTTTTATTCCAAATTTAAATTCTACCTTTTTAATTATTCAATCAAAATTCAAAATCCCCCTTTTAATTTTCTGTCATCATAAGCGATTTTTACCAAAACAATTTCC